TCGCCACTTCTGGCCTGCCACCTTCCAAGGTTGTCCGCTTTTTCTTCCGTCCACCCAATGAAGCTGTACCTTCCGGCCCTGTAAACTTGCGGTTTGGGGGGGGGCTGTCCGGCCCGCCGCCGCCACACACGACCCCGCAGCCCCGCAACCTCTGCCACTGCCAGCCGCAGACGCGAAGCGATCGCGGCAGCATTGGCCGGTCAGAAGTGGATTCCCCCTCCTCAGTCCGCACTTTCGCGAGCTGGAAATACCTTGTTAGAGATCCACCGCACCCCCCCCTTTCCCTCCAGCGACGCACTTCGGCCAGGATCACGCAGACGCTTCTACGGGACGGGGAGGGGGCAACCGGAGGCCCCATCGGCTAGAGATAAAACTCCTCCCGCCTGAAACACACATGCCGGTTAAAAGCGCAGCCAGGATGCTATTCCACCCCCCCCCCACTCCCGCACACACCTCCATTGCCACCGCTCTGGATTCCAGCTCAACTTTCCGGGCGCAGCGTAGCAAACAGACGGAACCAGCCGCCCGCAACGAGAGCGAAGAGTCCGTCGAAAGTTTGCCGCTTCACTTCTCCGTTCTTCCCCGCCCCACGCCTCCGGTTATTATCCGCCGCTTCTCTTGCCTTGCGGACACAAACACAACGCGGAGAGAGAGAGTCGCACACAACTCCGCTCTGCCGGGCTCCGCACCGCCTTCAAAGGACAACAGAGAGGAGGAAACAGAGCAAAGCGCCGACGGCTCGGAAAGGGCAACCTGTGCCCATCGTCATGCAAAGACCCTCCTCTTTTCACAAAAACCGACGTCTTCCCATTAATTCGGGCCGGCGATCGGACCGGCTCCGCGATCGGACCGGCTCCCGGCGCTGGAGGAGACGCGCGAGCTCGCCACGCGCCGAGACCCCAACGAGCCTACCTTGCGCGACGGGATCGGGGCCGGGGCAAGCGCCGCCAGCTTGGATGAGCCCCCCCCCGGCAGGTCTCCTCGCCGCCTCTCGGGGAGGATCCGAGGCGCCCTCGCTGTCCCCAACTCCAGACGGCGACAGGAGGCAACGGGCGGAGCGAGACCCTTATCGGCACCGCACGGGCATTTTCTCCCCAGTGGGTCCCTGCAAGCGGCGCCCCGCCGCCCTCGCCGCCTCGCTTCCCCCCTCCCGCCTCTTTCTTCTTCTCCTCCGCCTCCCTGGGGCTAAACTCAGCGGGCGGCTGCTGCTGCCGCGACGGCGGCGGCGACACCTCTCGCAATCCCGGACTTTGAATTCAGGAGCCGAGCCGATCCCTTCTTCGCCAATCCATAGAGACGCGCCAGTCAGTCGCGGCGAGAGAAAAAGAGAGAGAGAGAGAGACCTCCTTCCCGGAGAGCAAGCAAGGCGGGCTGGCGCACGGAACTCCCGTCGCCCCGGAGCAGGCAGGCAGGCAGGCAGGGAGGCGCGCCTGGACTTTTCGCTCCCGGCGCGGCTCCTCTCGCCCCGGCGGTCCGAGCGTCGAGGCGCGGCCGCCCCCCGTGTGGAAGTTCTCGCTTGCAGGCCGATCGGCACGAGCGCGGGAGGCAAGAGAAGCGAAGGCAGGAGTAAGGCCAAGGGATGTTGCCTCCTGCTCGCTTAACAAAAAAAACAAAAAAAGGGGGGGGTAAATAAGCCGCCCCCCTCCCTCTAGACCCAGGGAGACACACACAGGCACACGCACCACACCGCGCGCACCAGAGTCCCCGCTCTCACGTTGAACAAGCGCCCAAGCCCTGTGATTTGCATAGCCCCGCCCCTGTCCCCACCTCCCCGGGCACCGAAGCGGAGGCTGGACCCGTGGCCGTTCTCCTCCCCGCCGCCGCCGCCGCCGCCGCCTCTTTTTCCACCTGTGTCGTCCCCGCCCCTCGGCTGGGCTCGGCTCGGGCGGACCGGAGGCTTTTTCTCCGCCCCGGGCGCCACCGGCGAGGTTGGCTCCTCGCACCTCTCTCGCCCCAAAGAGGGCATGGCTTCCTCCGATCCCCGCGCCCCCCCACACACACACGCGCCACCGGCGAGGTTGGCTCCTCGCACCTCTCTCGCCCCAAAGAGGGCATGGCTTCCTCCGATCCCCGCGCCGCCGCCACACACACACACACCCCGATCCACGCACGAACGCACACACACACACCCCGATTAGGCGAAGTCCTCCTTTATCCCGGGGGCCCGCTTCACTGTGCCAGCCGCCGAAAGGCGACAGGAAAAAAAAAAGGCAGGATCCGAATTCTAAGCCTAAGCATGCCGGCCCGCGAACGCCCATCGCCTCCGATCGTCCCTCATGAGCTCTCTGGCTTGGGGGAATAAAAGGAGTTTCGCTCTACTTTAAAAACGGGGGGGGGGGGAACCAAGCAAACCAAACCCGAAGGGAGAGCGAGACAGACAAAAACAGGCGCCGGGGAAAATAGGAATAAAACATAAATAAATAAGGCGAGTTCTTTGTCTCCCTCTCTCTCTCTCTCTCTCTCCCGCCCGGTGGATTACAAGGGAGTGTCTCCCGTCGCGTGTGGGGATGGAGACAGAAAACGGGGGTGGAGGGATCCGTTTGTAGCGGGAAGAGAAAGAGGCAGAAAGCGAAAGGGAAAGAAGAGAGAAAGAGACGGGAGTGAGAATGAATGAATGAATGAATGACGGGAATGGAGGTTGGGGCGGGGGGGGGATGGGAGGCCCCGCTTGGTAATATTGCAAAATTCAGCCACAGAGATCCTTCAACAAACACCCGGCAACAAAGAAAAACTCGGGCGTTACTGACAGCAGGAGAGAGTGTTATCTTTCCCTCCCCACCCCAGCGCCTCACGCCTTCCAGCAAGCAGCTCAGGCAAGCGGGCTTAACCCTTTGGTGGTGGATCTCATGGGCAGAGGACCAACCTTCTGGCCTGGGAGAAAAATCCGGGGCCAGAGGTGAAGGTTCAGGGACCCCCTGCAACCCGAGGCTTTGTCTTTGGGATGAGGAATCAATCCCCCTCACAGGCAGTGAGAGCCACCCTTCTCAGGGCTATGCTACCTGTGCACATACCTGCTGACCTCACCTGATTTGGCATCTAAGCAGGTTTGGTGCTCTTTTTGTACTGGGATGGGAGGCCACCGGGGATCACCAGGCAGGACTAGGAAGGATTCTGCCCCAAACCCAGGAGAGCCACTGCCTGTCAGGGGTAATGATATAGGGCTAGATGGATCCATGGTGTGACTCAGTGGTATAAGGCAGCTTCCTGTGCTTTCCTTCTGATAAAGTAAGTCTAAGATATTTTGCTGCCCTCACTTTGCAATGCAGAAGCCAACCAAAATTGCAGTTGAATCTTACCCGAGTGTGAATACGATGCAATAATATAATGCCCTCCACTATACAGTACATGAGGGCATCAGGGTAGCTTAAAAGGAGCCAGTCAGGCTGAGTGGTCTACATGCACCCGCCATCCAAAAGAGGGCAATGGCTGGACTCGAGGTTGGGGTATGGGACCAGGTTGAGACGGACATCGCCTGACTCTTGAGAGAGCTCTCGTGTGGCAGGGCCAGGCCAGAGCACCTGGCAGGCACTCAACAGATTGAGCTTAGTGAACAAATGTAATCCTCAGCTGATACCCTCACGCCAACTCTTGAGTCAAAATGGAAACAAATACTGTACCTATGCTGTTTGTGTAGGTTTCTATATGAGCACCAAGATAGCCTGGTTCCACCTGGAGCATATCTGTTCTTCTCCCCCAGGTTTGTCTGTATAGTATAAAGGGGTGAATGAAAAGCTGTGCCCTCTGCAGAAGCTGACTATTATTCATTAGGGTGTTTTACAAAGAGGTGCATGTTTCTTGCAATGTGCATATATTGACAGCTGCTTAGTGCACTGCATTTTTCCTGTATGGAGGTAATCTCCGCACTGCACATAGTGGCTTCCTGACCCGTGTCCTTCTGGCAAAATAGATACTGTCACGTTCCATTTAGAAGTGCCAACTAGATCCCTCCCTCCCTCCCTCCCTGCCCTACTGCCCGCCCGCCCTACGATTCAGTAGAGAGATTGCTTCTATACAGGAAAAACGAGCAAGTTTTGATTACTTGGTGCAGCAACAAGAGTCAGGGGACCTTACGTTCCTCACTCTGTGGCCTGAGAAAGCTTGACCAGCCAAAGTTCTCCACGGAAATCCAAACGACAGATTCTGGCCGGAAGCTAAACAAAAGATGATGATGATGTATAATTCTCCTGCCTTCTCCCTCTTCCCGCCCCCATGCCTTTCACGTTGATGAATAATTCATGAATGCTTCTTTGGCATAAGGTATCTTCTTCGATTATACACAGTTAAGTAAAAGCTGAAATAACTTTCACGAGCCCTTTTGGGGGCAAGCGGCTGGAACATCGCAAGACCGTCGGAGAACTTCTAAAACCTTGGGAGAAAATTGGATGAGATTATCACTTCACTGATTTTAGGATTTGGACCTCTGCCATATCTTGTTGTAACCAAAGCCTGCATCTGATTTTTTGGAAGGTGAGTGTGCTTTTAGGCAAGGTTTTTAGCATGTACTTGCCCTGCCTTATTCATTGCATTTTACAGGGAGTCCAGATGTTCTTGCCTCCCACTTGGAGCCCTCTTGTGTTTTCATGATTTCTTCCCTTGTTCCATCTTTTCTATTAAGTAAGTACTACACATACTTACCTGGGAGTAGGCCCCACAGAATTAACATCTGCAGATTAACATATGCACTAGGTTGCATCCTAATTTATTTTTTGTTTAATTTACAGTATTTGTTTGTTTTATTTATACGCCACCTTCCTTCCGATAAGGGGATCCCAGGTGGCTCACAATATTAAAAGAATAGAGTTTAAAACATAATAAGTTAAACATTAAAAAAAAACTATACACTAATTAAAATATAATTGAATAATTAAAAGTAGGTAAGCATAAAAAACTGTCTTAACTTAATAATGGCATCCGGGGATTCAATCATGATTGTCAAAAGCCTGCCTGAAAAGATGGGTCTTCATCTGTGGGTAGAAGAATAAAAGGGAAGGGGCCAGCCTGATCTCCTGAAAGAGAGCAATTTATGATATATTGTATATTCCATGTTGTAAATACTATCAAGTGTAGCTTAGCTGTATTTTCTACATAAACTCAAAAGTACATTAATGGTCTCCATATTGTGTAACTTTGGATGCTTGTGCAGTGGTTTGCTGGAATTAGTATTCAGAATTTTGGGGGAACAGAGTTGCCAAAAATAATGAGTGAACAATAGATACAAATGAGATTGCAGGAGGTGGTCAGTGATATATCTTTTTCATCACAGGGTAAGAAAAATGTTCACATGAGAGGAGGAGGGAGAGAAGGGTTTTTTGTGTGTGTTCTCCTTTCTAAAACTGATCCCCAGTGTGGTGTAGTGGAACAGGGTTAGAATCCCCACTTGGTCATGGAAACTCACTGGGGGTGAGGAACTGATAAAACCACTACTTAAATAACTCTTACCTTCGAAGCCTTATTAAGGTTGCTGTAAACCTAGCGGTTCAAAAGCATGCAAATGCGAGTAGATAAATAGGGACCACCCTCGGTGGGAAGGTAACAGTGTTCCGTGTCTAAGTCGCACTGGCCATGTGACCACGGAAGATTGTCTTCGGACAAAATGCTGGCTCTATGGCTTGGAAATGGGGATGAGCACCGCCCCCTAGAGTCGAACATGACGGGACAAAAATTGTCAATGGGAACCTTTACCTTTTTTAAGTCAGTTCTGACTTGGTGGCACAGAATAACATCAACCGAGTAGACGTTGTCTAGAGGGGCGGGGTAAAAATTGAATAAATAAATAAAATAAATAAAATCATCTAAAGCTGTTGTTTAATTAAACTCACCCTTTGGGACGGGATTTAGCATATTGTATTCTACAAGTAAGCACATTTTCTGAACAGTTTTCATTTTTGCAAAAGATACATCCAATTTTATGTTAAGACATTAGATAACTTGGATTACTTTAATATAGAAAGCAGGTAACCACATAAGTAGTTATCCAAGTGGATAAGTATACTGTGTGTTCTCTGAATATGATCCGTGTTATATTCATTTATGCTCTGCACTTTTAGTTGTCCCTTACATTGTGGGGACACACAGCCCAGATTGGTTTTCTTATCTTCTCTATATTTGGGGTATATATCCTGACTCACTGTAGTTTACGTAGTGGATGCCATGCAATTTCACCCACAGCTTTTGCCACAATATTTTCTTTTAAGCTTCGCAGTGCCATAAAACTCTTTGCTGGTTTGGCTGTAGTAAATGAACACGGCTGACTCTCTGTAATCCGATGCAATTCTGCAATCATCTTACGCCCATGCTGTGATGATACTCTCTACAAATGCAATCCTTGCATGAGCAGGAACTAACAGACCCTCTGCTTGAACGCTGCTCTTTTAATTTAGAAGTGCTTTACTTTACAGCCCAGTGGGAATGCTGGGTGAAAATTGGAAGATTATGTGTGTCCTGTGGGGAAGACAATGGCTTGGTTTTGCTGTACACAGGTAAACGGTTACCCAGGCCTCCCGATGCTATGCCTCTTCACTCAGCAGAAAGTCCCTCTGACATGAGTGCCCAGCGTAATTCCCATATTGCATAGGACTGGAGTCAAACAACAGAGGATCCAAAGCATCTTCATCCAAAGGAAAAAACCCTATTTTCAATGGGACTTATTTTCTTTGAAATGCTGACATCTGATT